AGGTTCTGGCGGCCAATAATGCTCAGCACCTAATGGCTGCAATTGCCCGCTATACGTGTCTACGTATTCAGCAACACTGTATTGCCTATCAATATAGTTGGTTACCCCATATCCAACTTGTTGAAAGCACTTCAACGCATGTGCGCACGACATGTGGTAGATGGTCCATTTCCCACAAGAACAAAACCTTTTGGCTTTAGTTACCATCTGTAGATTATTCCCACAGTGTCTGCGAATAGCGGTCTTAACTTCAAAAATACCCCAGTCATCATCGTACTGTAGAAACGAATGCCACTGTGCTCGCCTCCTATACCTTTCAAATCTTCTCATGGGTATTGGCATAAGTTGAACACCCCTGTCCATCAATGCCGATGCAGCTCTATGCCTTTCAACTAACCTCTCCGCACTCTATTTGAATGTCATGCGGATCATGGCAGTGACAGGCAGTCCACGGGCAAACTTCAACAAGCCGTTGAATGACTCTGACACGTTTGTAGTGAGGGCTCCCCATCGTCTACCGCCATCAGCATGCAATGTCCACATGTGAAGCTCATGTCCCATCAACCAAGTATAGGCTCGTGGATCTATAGGTGAATCGCTTCCATGCGCCTGGTGAATTTGCACTACTGGTGCTCAGTTACAGCCATCCACATTAAGTCATGCAAGGCCTTGTCAGGATATTTCTTCTGGAAATTGGCCTTCAGGTGCCTCACATAGTAACAGTGGTATGCATATGGTTCCTGCCATTCAGGCAAGTGCCGTACAGAATTTAAAATACCGCCATGTCTATCAGATATTAGACAAATACCTGAACGCTGTTTAACAACGTGCTGCTTCAAATGGTTCAAGAAAAGCGTCCACGTCTCTTCGCTTTTGTTGACACAAATGGCAAAAGCTAGTGGAAATATTTGTCTGTTGGCATCTATTGCAACTGCAATCAAAAGCTTAATATCATACTTTCCATAGACATGAGTACTGTCTATGGAAATTATAGGACGACAATGCACAAAACCATCAATTGCTGCTTTAAATGACCAGAACACATAGTTGAAAATATATTTGGGTCTGTCCGGACTACGCTCACGCCTCCATTCAACAACAGTGTCGGGGTTAAAGTGTTGCAGTGCGGCCATGTACCTGGGCAGATTTGAAAAAGACTTATCCCAGTCGCCATAAATAAGTTCAAAGGCACGTTNTCACATTTGCGACCGAGATATGCCTTTCTTTTGGTTATAGTACAACCGTACTCTTGGTGGACGGCTGTAATACACTCTTTAATCTTGAACCTAATGGACACTTCCAAATATGGAATCAAGACAAGAGAAATCAAGTCCACATCCAGGTTGAAGTTATTCTCATTGAATGTGTCCATTTCACATCTATGGGTGCTAATAAATTTACCCACTTTCCACAAACCTGATTTCTTCTTGCTGGCACGCAACATCCAGTGACAACCCATAAAGTCTCTATGGCATACAACCTTGTATACCTCCATAGTTGACTCACTTACTATCATCTCACGGCACTCTCTTATACTGTAGATTTTTACAGCCCTAATTAGGCGAGCTTTGTCGGGGAAATACATGCACTTTGTCAGAACAGCTGATCTAGACTCATCCCACATCGTTGACCGAATTTCGTCATCATCCCTTGTGAGGGCATCCACATTCGGCATACTTGGCAAATTATCAAGGTAAGGAATATTACGCTCATGAAATGGTATGTGGGACTCATACACTCTTGGTCTAGCGGGAGGTGGAGGAACATGCTCCCTTGTCAGCTCAGGTTCAACATTCACTTCCTCCTCCTCATCACCCTCATCATGGAAGGGTGTGTCATCTCCAGACTCATCCGCATTGTTGTCATAATCACTATCATTTTCATGACTCTGTGCATCTGCCAACTCAAGAGTGAATACGTCGTCTATGGGCAACTGTGTGAGGTCAGCAACATCAAGAAGCTCGTTTTCACTACACAAAAAGAACAAAACGCTAAGTTACCCAACTAGATAAATACTTTAGAAATAGATATATCACTTTACTTACAAGTCGTACTATCTTGACGTTTCATGATGGATATTTTCTTATTGGTGATTACCCCCGGATGGACCACCGTGGTCCAATACTCCAGAACTACGCATATTCCAACTAGGGGCGGGGTCATAACTTGTAAATTTCATATCTGGACGGTACCCCCTATGAAAAATATGAGTGTTAATATCCAATTCAAACATAAAATAAACACCGCTAAAGCGTAGAAAAATTAAAGTTTGCCAGTCGTCTTGTGGATTATATAAAGTAGAAAAATTATTTTGTGGCTGCTCATTTGCCGGTGGTGACAAGTTTAAATCAAGGCAAGCTCTTTCATCGGCAATCTGTCCGGCAAAAACTGCTCTAGAATAATCACCCGATGACTGGGGGTATCCCTACTATGCACGCCCTCATTATTGGGAACGTCTTCCACCTTGACGTACATTTCCAACAATTTTATTACAATAAATTTCATGTATTCATCCGGAATTCGCAAAAAATCTCTATGAGTTTCATCATCTTCGATGTTAAACTCAGAGTAATAAGCAAACCCCTGCGGAGTCACTAAATACGGAAATCTACCGGTTACTTTAAGGTTAACCGAATGCTTCCTCTGACTCATTTTTTTACGTAACAACGATACCAATTTATCATACTCCATTGTAAGCGGCACTTTAACATGACACCGTGGAGGTGAGCTATACCTCACAGAGTTATTCTTCAGCACAACCTCCCCCCCCCAATATAATGAAACTCTTATTTTTGACTCTTCAGACATTGTAAAAAAATGATTGATAAGAAGAAGAGAGAAGTATGAACGGAAGTTTGAAGGAAAGTATTGAATGGATTTTCATAAAATTCAAACGCCTTTAAATAAGCTTGGGGTGCAGAATTTTTTTTATGAAGAACACAGTACAATACCACGTTTTATGTATTTGAATTATTGGTATGTCAGTTATCCGCAAAACACTTATTAGTGGGCCCAAATTTTAATGCAAAACGCATTATAGTACTGCATTTTAATTGTACTGCATTTTGCTTTAATTAAATATAGTTGGCCCAATATTAATAGGAAAACGCAGTATTATACTGTGTTTTCCTTAAAAAAAATTTTTTTTTAATAATACGCAGTATAGTACTGCGTTTTTAGTTATTTATGTAACTTTTTTTTAATAGTAAAAACAAATTTTTTGCCCAAAAAGGCATTAGAAAAGTTTCGGGCAATATGACATGATCCCATGCTGGCGTCTCTATTCAGTCTAGTCAACCCCATTAATCTATGGGAATGTAAATTTTTGTAAAAGACGTCGAAATTTATAAAAGAACTAAAGTATAATTTTGATTATCATATTTGTAAATAAGAAATAGTTTTAATATATTGATTTTGTTGAGTTTTAAATTAGAGAAGGTCCTGAGTTCAATTTTACTTCATCACAATTTTTACCTACAAAGGCTCTCTTCAAATATTTGCAAAAGAAAAGTGTCCTAGTTGAGGTTTGAACCTTTGACCTTTTAGAGAAAAATCAAGCACATTACCAACACACAATTTATGTCAAATTATGTCATTTTTTTCCTACTTATCCGTTTCCGTACAATATTAATACATATATTTAGTAAAAAAATTCGACGAAACGGTGTCGCTTGACACCGCTCGAGTAAATCCGCCCCTGAGAATGTTGGAAGCTGAGGCGATTTCTTTTCCAGTTTTTGTTTTTTTCTAAGAAAAAAATAAAACAAGAAAATTCTCAACTCTATAGTTGTTTCCAACGAACCCTGCAACTCTTTTTCTTGATTTTTGGCTGTCAATTATAAAAAGCAACATTTTTTTTTTGGTTGTGACCATGGACTACACGGCGAAAGAGAGCTTCCCATTCACAGCACATTTCTATTACTCCTAATTTAAGTAATGTACTTCAGTGGTAACCGTGTAGAAAAAGTTGATGTCCCTAATTACGGTTAATTAATTAGGAAGCGTTTTCAATGAAATTTCTCAAGCTTTAGTTGAAAGACTTAATTAAATAAATTTCATAATCCCTTCCGCAAAATAATAATAATAATAATAATAATAATAATAATAATAATAATAATAATAATAATAATAATAAGATAATCCCGATGGATTTGTGATTTTTATCATATATGTCATTGTTGCTCTTAAGAAATATAGCATAAATAAAAAACAAAGTCTTTTGTAGTTAACATTTATAACGATATAAGTGGACTGGCCGTTGAGATATTCTAGTAATTTTTGTTGGAAAAAAAGAAGAAGTTAATTGAAATATAAAGCTGAACATAAGGCGAAAACAAGAGTAGATAACAACTAACTTTCCTTCCTTCTCCAACAGAGTTGATACTCATTCCCTTATCCATTTAAGTATTCTTACTTGATGCATACGTTAAATCAGTGAATATATAATATTTACTTTTTTCATATACATATTTATCACTTAGTATAAATATCGGATACAAATAATTTTTATCGAATATACATGAAGCTTAAACAAAGTGTGTACTATATTACAAAGCAAATGAGTATAATATTTAATATATTAAATAGTTACATAATAAGTGATTTAATTATATATATAAAAATATTTATTCTATCGTCAATACATAAACATTAACACCAATATATAATTACATTAAAAGTAACCTGAATATATAATATTCTTACATTGAAGTTAAGCCCTCTTTTCTTTTCTTTTTTCCTTTCTGATTTCAGCAAACATTATTGTTGACCAAAATTAGTAATAAAGAGTCCGTTTTACCCCGTCAAACGCGTGCGGCAAAATTGAACCGTAAGAGACTAGGAAAGCATTATTATGGGAAGCAACGTCACTCTTTCTGTCTCCTTTCTCTCCCCCTTCCTCTAACTTCTCCATATATACACAACCTCCTCTCCATTAATTCTCTATTCCAACCTTCTGCTACTTTCTTTCAGAGGCTTCTACTACTATTCTCTTTAACACAATGAAGCCATCATCATCGTTGTCGCGGGCGTTAGAAATCACAGTGATTTCCGGGGAGAATCTCCGACAGAACAGGACGCAATGGGTGAAGAAGAACGCTTTCGTAAATATCAAAACAGATTCGAGCAGCAACATTCAAACAACAAGGATGGATAAAGAAGGTGGAAATTTTCCTATGTGGAACGAGAAATTGATCGTTAATATGCCCATGCATGCTCGTTATCTGACGGTTGAGGTTCAATGCAAGACTTCTTCAGGTATCAAAACAATTGGAATTGCAAGAGTTCCGACGTCGGATTTCATTGGTGGATTCTTGCCGGAAGATTATCTGCACTTGTTGAGTTATAGGCTTAGGGATGAAAAGGGTGAGAAGAATGGGATTATTAATTTCTCCGTCAAGGTCAAGAATGCACAGTCGTACACTGCCGGTTGCGCCACCGCTTATTCGCAGCAGTGGATGGCAACTCCGGTGGCTATGGGAAGTAATGCTTCTGGTGGGGTTGTGACGGGTATTCCCGTTTATCCCGGGAGTTATTAGGTTTAATTTGGAGAACTTTAATTCTCTTTTATTTCTTTAATTGATCGAAATTGAATTTGTATATTGTACAGGTTTTAGATGAATACCAAAGATGCAAATATTAATAACCAAGATTTACTTGACTTTCGTAACCATTTTTGTGAGAATAGATTAAGGAATAGAAATGATCGACAAAGAAAAAAAGAGATAACTGACAATCACTCCCTAGAATCAAGGCTCAAAACTTGTAGAAAAAGGCAAAATATAATAGGTATGTATTTCGGTAACAATCGTAACTTGCCCTTACAAATGGGATTTTTGTCTTTATATAAGAGCATATAATTATACCAATTCCCACACTTAATTTGGGTTTAGTAATAGTATTAATTGCATTGATTGCCCGTTACCATAGGTAGTCGGCACATAATAACTAAAGATTCCTTGTAACTGCTCTGATTTTCTTTATTTACTTCTGGTTCTTGCATCTTCCCTTCTTTGCAACCTTCATTCATTTCACTCATGTTTCTTCTTTGATAGTTGTTAGGTCCGGTTCTTTTCTCGGTTCTTTTCTCTACATTACCCGTGGATGTTTCTCTCGTAACTTTCCTGCATTCTTAATTCACCTAATTGAGAGTGCCATTTGTCGCTATATCGATGCTTCACACATCACGCCTTGTCAGCTTGGTGACAATCTACGTGTCATGTCTTTTTTCAACCAATAAATTTATTTTATTGAAAGAAAAATATGTCTTTTTTTCACCAATAAATTTATTTATTGAAAGAAAAATATGTTGCGTTTGTTAATTTGATTACGAATAATTATGACATTTATTTGTTTGCATGTCGTATAATCTCAATTAGAGTGGTCATCAGTGATTTTTTTACCGGGTCGATTTGGGTTGTAACCCAAACTGACTTATCTCTGAAACGGGTCAAATTGGGTCACTCAACGGGTCAGTTTATCAACCCGTAACTTTCCTGACTTTCATCTAGTTGTCTTCTAAGACAAAACCAAACTTCTCCTAAATGCCTATATTTTATTATAACATATTTAATTGTATTTTAAAGTTTCCCATTTGTAACATAATCTTGTCCTAAATGCCTTTAGAGATGATGTTTTCTTTCATAAAATTTCTTTTAGGTAAATAATTGCACTATATATTAAAATCATACAACTTGTAATTTCTTAGGCGTTTTTAAACTTTTGTGAAATTGATTTGGAGAATTCTTTATAGATTAATGCATGATTCATGAAGATATGAAGAAAAAAATATATACATTCTGCAAGCTAGCCGATATATTTATGTAAGGTAATAATTATAATATTAGTTTTTACTAAATTATTATTCACTAGTTTACATTTTTTTAAAGTTGTAGACTTTGTTTTAGAGAAAGACTTTTTGTCATGAAAAAGTTAAAGCAGAAATTATGCTGCCCTTTTGACTAAATTTAGATCTTTTTGATTGTTATTAAAAGATAACATAACCTGTTATAAAATAAAAGCAATTTAGTAAAACATGAACAAGAAATAAAAGCAAGTTAGTAAAACATGAACAAGAAATAGAGATAGAGAGAAGGAAGAGATTTTCTTCTTCAATTGTGTGTATTTTCATATCTATTACAAGGCCTTTATATAGACATGAAAAGTGAAGAAAATATATCATGGAATATGTCATTGAAAATAGAAAATATGTTATTGAATATGTCATTAAGCATTTGACATGAAGATCATCGAGAAAGAGTAGACATCCACCATAATATGATATTTATCATAACACTTCCCCTTGGATATCCATAAATAATGTGCCTCGTTAAAACCTTATTAGAAAAAAACCCTATGGGAAAAAATCCTAATGAAGGAAAAAGAGTACACATATTTAGAAATACGCCTTTTGGTTGCCTCGTTAAAAACCTTGCAAGGAAAAACCCAGTGAGACAAAACCTTGTAAGGGAAAAAGAGTACAACGCATATTAACTCCCTCTGATGAGAGCATCAATTCACATTCTTGATTATTCACATCCCAATCTTGTAACTAATTTCTTTAAAGTTGACATTGGTAGAGATTTGGTGAACAAATCAGCCATATTATCACTTGAACGAATCTGTTTCACATTGATATCACCATTCTTTTGAAGATCATGTATGAAAAATAACTTCGGTAAAATGTGTTTTGTCCTAGCTCATTTTTATGAATCCTCCATTTAATTGGGCTATGCATGCTGTATTATCTTCATAAAAAATTGTGGGTAGTTTGTAACACTTCAAACCACATTTGTCTTGAATAATATGTATTATAGACCTTAACCATACACATTCTCGACTTTCTTCATGAATAGCAATTATCTCAGCATGATTAGATAAAGTAGCCACGATTGATTGCTTAGTCGATCGCCAAAATATGGCAGTGCCTCCATATGTAAACACATAGCATGTTTGAGATCAAGCCTTGTGTGTGTCAGATAAATACCCCACATCGGCATAACCAACAAGATCGGGATTGCAATCATTACCATAAAATAAGCCCATTAGATAACACAATTTGTGTTTGATTTCACTCCAATGTCTCCTTGTAGAAGCAGAGCTATATCTTGCTTAGACATTAACTGAAAACGTTATGTCACGCCTTATAATGTTAGCAAGATACATTAGTGCATTAATTGCACTAAGATATGGTACTTTAGGACCAACAAGTTCTTCATTATTTTCATGAGGTCGGAATTGATCTTTATTTATATTGAGTGATCTCACAACCATCAGGGTACTAAATGGATGTACTTTATCCATATAAAATCGCTTTAAAATCTTTTCAATGTATGCTGATTGTATATTGGGAAAAATTGAGTTTACATATTAAAGTGGTATAAAGATGACGTGTCATGACACGTAGACTGGTCAAAGAGTTATGATTGGCAAAGAAGCACGAGTTGCAACAGATACAAGCAGAGGTAAAGGAAGAGGCACGAGCGGTTATTCAAAAAACTCACGCCCGTACCTATTTAAGTCTAAGAATCAAGGGGAATGAATATGACAGTTCATGGGAGTACAGATACAGTATTTAATGAACCTTCAATACTAAAAACGTTAGAGAATCTGTATTAAATACAATGATTATGTAACGTAGCATTTAATGTCTTTAATTGCCCATAATGGCCTTATTATGACAAAGGCAAAATGCATATCTCTAAAGTAGCTATAAAAGGGAGAGAACGGATCAATTGTAAATACACGAAATACTATCTGAATATACTGGTTTACTTGTTTTCTCCTGATTATATCATTGCTAGTAAAATTACTTTCTTCTATACTTTCTTTGATTATCAGTAACCCGAGTTCTTCTAAATTATCGCTTTGACCGAAATCCCACTTTTTGGTTAAACAAATTGGTTCTGTTACCGGGAATCTGATAATCTATTCGTTCTCAGCCTAACTTTCTTATTACATCAGTCATGTCAAACGTTAATGACAACACCCAAGGAAACCAAGAAAATCATCAAATCCAAAGGAATCCTCAAGATGAGCAGTCCCCGAACCCTTCTCAGCAAAACTCCTCTCGACGGTCTCGAGAAGGCACTCCTGATGGATCTCATGCAAAAGGGAATGATCAATTTGAAAATGTTGAAGCTATCGATGAAGCTTTGCAAAAACTAATTGCTGAACAGGTCAATAAAGCTCTTGAGGCCTTTGCTAGCCAGTTACTAGCTGCACCACCCACACACACTCCAAATAACAACACTTTGGAGAACCCTCGTTCTAGGCTTGTTAATTCAGGAAGTGGTAGAACCCCCAACAAATCACAAGAGGGAGTACCGGGTAACTTAGTCAATTCTAATTTACAAAATTTAGTACTAATATTGCAGAAACAGCTCAAGGAGCAAAGTGACCGCATAGAGCAAATACCTGGGGTGCCACCCGTAATCAAAGCGATAGATATGGATAAATATTTACAACAACCCTGGAAGCCAAGTGCTGCTCCCCTCCCAATTCCAAAGAAATTTAAAATGCCTGATATTCCAAAATACGATGGAACAACTGATCCACGAGACCACGTGACTGCATTCACAACAGGTGTCAAAGGCAATGACTTGACCAAATAGGAGATTGAATCAGTATTGGTCAAGAAATTCGGTGAAACACTCACTAAGGGTGCATTAACATGGTATTCTCTTTTACCCGAAAATTCTATAAATTCTTTTGCTGAGCTTGCAGATTCTTTCATAAAAGCACACTTAGGAGCTCAAAAAGTCGAAAAAAGAATGGAAGATATTTTCAAATCAAGCAAGGGGACTCAGAATTGCTGAGAGAGTTCGTGGACAGATTCCAACGTAAAAGAATGACATTACCGCGTGTACCTGACAATTGGGCCGTTATAGCTTTCACGAGTAATTTAAATGAAAAAAGCTCCGAGGCGACTCAAGCAAAGTCTTCGTGAATTCCTAGCCACAACATGGAATGACGTTTACAACAGGTATAACACGAAGCTGAGGATTGAAGAAGATATTATTTCACGGTATCAAAAAGAAGAAAAGATAAGTTCGAGACGGGCAGAAACCGAAAAGGTACGGTAAAAACAGGTACGAACCATACATGGGACCTGCGGAGAAAGACTCACGGTCAAAACAAGACAATCAAAGGTACGATCACAGATCAAGGAATAGAGAGTCAGGCTCGTCACCAAGATTTAAGAATGATCGAAACACCCACGAGTCACGAGATGATGAAATTTGAAGGCGAGATTTGGCGGTTATAAATTCAATGTGAGCACTTTTGAACTTGTAGCTGTTTTGAGAAGCATGGGTGATAAGGTACGATGGCTAAAAGAGATGAGATCGAATCTAAACAGGCGCAACCCTGATCATTGGTGTGAATTTCATAATGATCACGGGCATAAAATGGTTGACTGTAGGTTTTTACAAAGTGAATTTGATCATTTATTAAAACAGGGGTATCTCACCGAGTTATTTAGTGAGAAAGGTAAGCAAGCATACATAAAGAATAGGCAGGAGCCTCCCAAACCACCTTC